GAAGAAGAAGAAGGAGGAGGAGGAGGAGGTGGAGGAGGAGGAGGAGGAGGGGTACATGAAGACGATGAGAAAGAGGGTAAGAAGTCGGCGGCGAGGGGGAGGCGGGTGGTAGCGGCCACGGCACGTCAAACGAAGTTCTGTGTATAAGTAGTTTTGGCCGGAAAGTCTCGAAGAAGAGGAAGTGGAAGGAAGGTCGTCATCGGATGATGACTAAGTGGCAAGTAGGGGAGTGGACGGGGCGCCATACTGGGGGCGGGGGAAGAGGGCCAGCTTGCGGCGAATTGCCTGAGCATGTATGTTCTATAGCCTCCTCCCGGCGTGACTGTACCCCGAAAAACATAACCGGACTCATTCCCGGGACTTTGCCGGGACTGGGGAATTATTATGTTGTTGTCTTCACGTCAAAAGCCGTTCCAGCCACCATCTGCCTAGTACTTTCATCCGCCCATGTCTAACGCTAGACGTGGTCGATTCCCGTGGTCACAGGCAAACTCGAATAAAACGGACCCGAAGAGCCCGCAAGCCAATATAAATCGATGGCATAGATAGTTATATGTATAGTCTGGGGCCTTCCGCCGCCCCCCTCTACGTGCAAGTGAGATAACGACGAAAGAAACCGGATGTCACAGCACGGGCCGGAGAAGCACAATAATTTTGGTACTATGCTAACTGCCGGCAGGGTGGTGTTCCGGGTTCTAGCCGGCCAGGCCGAGTTGGCAAACAATCTATTATTCCTCTTGATACCACCTCTATCACTTGCCTCTATTTACCTCTACACACTCTACAAACATCTGCACTCCAGAGTTATCATTTTTCTACAATCTCCTGACCAGTCGGAGACATGCGGCGGCAACAGGGCTTCGAAACACAACAGATTGTTTCGAGAGAAAAATTTGCCAAGTATTTTTTGGGGCCGGCTGTGGGGGGGGGGTAGTGTTGTTGTTGTTGTTGTTGTCTTGACATTAAACTCGTGTCAGTCGCTAATCCCAAAATCTAGCAAAGACTCGGTCCGAGGTCACAAAAATGCTGAAGCCATCATCGGAAGATCTAAATAACACGCACACTATTAGCAAAGAAAATGGTACACAACAAGCCCGAAGAGGTACACCTACAATCCCTGCAGCACGTTTGTTTCCGTGCCCAAAACTGAACTAAACGCCCAGACACTACATACATTCGACTACAGCAGCAGCATCACCCCCTCCTTGTCCCACACTTCACCAAACAAAATGAATGTTTGTCGACTACGTCGTCAATCATATACACTATCGTTATTCGTGCCCATGGGTACCCATGGGCACGAATGGGTATACCCATGGGCACCCATGGGTACCCATGGGTGCCATACCCATGGGTATCCATGGGTACCCATGGGCACGAATAAGGATAATGTACATCACCCGACTACTACGTGTAGTGTGTGTACATACAGCGTACCTTGCGGTCGTAAAAGTGCTGTCTGTACAATAACACCATGCATGGTAGGCATGGTACAAGCTCGGGGCACGCAGCTGCTGACTGAAGTGCTGTCAGAATGCGTCGTCCGTGGACATACAATGAAGAAGAACAACCAACCAAAGCCATCATTCATTGCATTTGACAACCACCCGAATCTATCCAGGTCATCTGTGGTTGGGTCCGGATTTTTTTTTTTTGTGTTCCCTTGGCCCAGAGGTATCTACTATTTATAGTAGCTTAGACCCATGTTTGTTTATGGTTTCCAAATCTTTATCTTCATTTCTTTGGGCAAATGCTGACTTTTTCGACCTTTTGGGCAGTCTGCCTCCCGAATGAATGCGAATCAGCTGTTCGACCTTTGAGAATAGTCACAGCTTTGCCTGAGATGTATACAGGCCGCCTATTTGTTTTGCCAGGGTCCACGTTTGATTTTTTTCCAGCAGTTGTTCAAGATGTGCAAGATTAAGATTCGGCCTGAAGACCACCTCGGAGCAAATCTTGGGCCAAGATCTGTCCAAAAGCTGGTGTTGGAAAAATCTTGCGTGAAAATTGTGCATCTTGAAAAAATCAAACGTGGGCCCTGGCGAAACAAATAGGCGATCTGTAGACATCTCAGCCAAAGCTGTGACTATTTTCAAAGGTCGAACAGCTGATTCGCATTCGTTCGGGAGGCAGACTGCCCAAAAAAAGGTCGAAAAAGTCATTGAAAAAGTCAACATTTGTCCAAAGAAAGGAAGATAAAGATTTGGAAACCATAAACATGGGCCTTATAGACCAGTCCGAATACCTATATAACACAACCTACACCGGCAGACCAACTGGCTGTATGGGCCCAATTGTATGTATTGGCCGTAAGCATATGCGCAGCAGAATGAACGTGAGGCTGCCTCACGTCAAAATGCGAACGACGAGCGTTCCTTGTCGCCTCTTACTATGGTTTTTGGAGGTGGACATGTGATCGTGGTTGACCACATGGATGGATGGTTATTTGGGGCCGTCGGATGCTCAGACGTGACGTCATGCTAGATTAAGGCTTTATTAATTAGGAGGGCTTTATGCCGAGGCATGTGCCCTCCTTCGTCTGTTCAGGGCTTTATGCCGAGGCATGTACCCTCCTTCTGTTCAGTTTGCGTGCAGACGACCCGGGCCCGGTGATCGTGTGTGCTGGGATCTTGTGTGAGTTGGCTTGGAAGAAAAAGCGTTAGTCTAAGCAAAGAAAGAGAACAACAACGACGCAACAACAACCTGGATCTATCTGTGGTCGGATAAGAGAGTTCCACACAGCACAAACTTTGTGTACGAAAGGTGATTGATTCTGAAGGAAGGGGTCGAATCTCATTACACTCTCCAAAGATCGGTAGGAAAATGGTGTCGAAGTTTACATACAGCTGCACAGGGTAGTGGCAGGACGTTTGGAGCTGAAATTTGAAATTTGAAATTTCAATTTTGACAAGATTCTGTTCCAAGATGACCGGCGGTGTTACTACTGTGCATCCATAGTCAAAGATCCAAAGAAAGATCCAACAAAACTCCCCCACATTTTCCTCCCATTTTTCCTCGAGCAAATACCAAATGCCCACGGGGAATCGTGATGCTGCCCAGGGAGTCGACACAGACAGATAGATAGACAGATAGATACTACAGAGGTCGTTTCCGATAAAATCTATTTTTTCCAGGAGATGAATTAATTGGAGGTGTGCGGGTATTTTTCTTACAAAACAAAAGAAAGCAATCACAAACAAAGATCAGAAAAACCGAGACGAAGAGGCCACGCAAAGCTCCTTTTTCTTCATGCAGAGTGATGATGCTGTGGCACATGGTTCATTTCTTGATAGATTATTCTCACTACTTGCTCGCACACACCGGCCGCCAACGTACCGCGAGCACAAGTTGATCCACAGAGCTACATATACAACACGAACCATGAAAGTCTCCTCTGCCATACTCACTGCAGCTTCTCTCCTGTTAACCTCTGCTGCTGCTGCTGCGGAAGACGGCGCGTTCCGGAACAACTCCGTTTTGAGAGGAGGTAAAAGAAGCAGAGGCGGAGGCAGGAACGGAAAAAAGCACTCTTCGTCGGATTCATCATCATTTGACGACGACATGGTCACTCACGGAGGGTGCTCGGATCCAGTTGGAGCCGTCCTTAACTTGTTTGACTGCGTCACGAACAAGGACAGTGTGTGCGCTGCTGCTGGCTATGACCCTGGCTTTCAACGCTTCCACAACGAGAACTTCACGGGAGATATACCAGGTGGGCGAAGGAGCTAAGAAGCACTTTTTTTGAGACGAGAGACAAAACACCACGCACGGCGGTGTGACACAACACACCGCCGTGGCCGGGATTGATTTTGACTTCTTCATGTTGCGACGCGCAAAACTGCCACCACCGCAACAAACAGAGTGTACTTACAGCAGTGGATCGATGGGCAACAACAGCAACAACTGCTGCTCTGCGGGTGCTTTGAAGAGGTCGCAAAATACGATAAAAAAACGGGCTGCACCACGCGCAAAATTGCCACAACCGCAACAAACAGAGTGCACATACAGAAGTAGTAGTGGATCGATGGGCAACAGCAACTAGCTGCTGCTCTGCGGGTGCTTTGAAGAGGTCGCAAAATACGATAAAAAAAAACGGGCTGCACCAAAAGACAACATCATGTTATTCATACTCACTCACAGGATGTCGTGTCAGACATTAGTTCATTTTTCTAGTGGACACCGAAATTTGGGCGTTACTTTTTTTTTTGCCGGCGACACAACAAGCAGTATATGCGTCGGGAAATGCTGCCCTAGGGTTCGTTTTGACTTGCGCACACGGTGCAGCAACGACGGCGTGTACTGAACCTTCACGTGCTATCGTCACAGCTTGTCATGAGTGAGTGCAATTTTCCATTTCCTCCCACGATCGGTCTTGGTGTTTGTTGTTTTGATGTTGTGGCGACCCCGTGGTGCGTGCGGCAGCTACATACATACCTATCACCGCCGCGAACATGTAAGTAATAGTATTTCGTCAGGTCGCTGTGCAACTCGATTTCGTGTGCCTACCTACTGCGAACTGCGAACTGCGAAAAAAATAAATTATAAATACCAGGCGTCCCTCCGGAGTGGGGTAAAGAGAGCACCGTGGCAAGGGGTGATGCAAGAACATGCAAAAAGCAAAAGCAGACATAGATTATAGAGTACGCACTGTTCGTTCCGCATTTATTTATTTATTGCCGTTTCTTCTGATACTGCGTCTCCCACCGCCGCCGCGGATTCCAGGCCGCCAAACGACTTGAAATTCATCAGAGCCGTATTATTGTCGCCCAGGAAACGCACACACACACCCTCGCCACAGGCGGGCAGAGAAGCGTTCGTTGTATTCGCGCGTCTAGCATGCAAACAGCAGTATGTTGTAGGGCCATGACCGTAGCATCATGGTGTGTGTCGCACATTCCGGAGAAGAGAAGTAGAGGCCACATTGATGTGGATGTATTTTTTGTGAAGCAAGGTGGGACGGATCGAATGAATCCACTGACAGGAGCACGCGTGTGAGTGTTTTCATTATTAGCATCGACCGCGCTAGCCGGCTGACCAATGAAAATACGCCAGTCTTAGTGCGGTTGAAAACACAAAACACTTCTATCTGCCATGAACTGGGACCCCCCGTGAGGGGGCAGCGTAGGGGAGGCTATAAACCGTCCTTCGGATCAAAGACAGAAGAAACGGTGACAACAGAAGAAAACTGCACGCGTCTACCAAACGCTATTACCTTGTGCTCTAGTTCGTTTAGGAGTACTTTCAACATTTATCCTCTTTGTTTTCGCTACCTACAATCACTGGGCAGTTCATCCCTAGCCCTGCGTTTCTTGTTTTGGACAGATGGATACACGTAGTAAGCAGACGCAGCCAAACTATCACGCAGTACATACATACATAACACGCATCATGCATGCACGTACGTACCCTGTACACCCACCACGACGGGGGAAAAATACAGTCAGTCGTGGGCCCGGTTTAGCGGTTCCCTGTTTAGCGGGATGCCCTGAATAGCGGTTATAAAATCTCGTGACACGGCTGCACCCCGGTTTAGCGGTCATACAACCGCTAAACCGGTCGTGCCCTCAATAGCGGTTATTGGACATGTTTGCAGCCACCAATAGCGGTTATCGGTTCAATTTTTGCGGGGACCTGCATGTAGTGCGCGCTTCGCTTGCACATACTCACAGCACAGCGACTTGGTCAGCCTGTTAGCTGGTCGATGCTCATAATGAAAAGGACACGGCGAGACACACACACATACACCAAACGACTCAGGGCCAGAGAAGAATCGCCGAAAAATAGCTGAAGAAACGACGATGAGAAGAATGATGGTGGTGAAAGCAAGGATGATGATGGTGAAAACACTCCAAAACGAACTCGAGTGCAAGGTGGCAGTTTTCCTCTGTTGCTACCTACCGTGTCTGTCCTTACTCCGGGGAAAGCTTTTACCTGCCCCATGCCGCCCCCTCACGAGGTCCCAGTTAATGACAGACAGAAGTGCCTTGTGTTTTCAACCCTGTGTTTTCAACCACGCTGAGACTGACGACGACGTCTTTTCATTGGTCAGCCGGTTAGCGCGGTCGATGCTAATTTTGAAGACACACACCATGCGGTGCGTGGATGGAGAGCTGTGCAAGCTTATAGATGCGGCACGAGTCCAAGCGGCACGCATGATTGTAAAGGTTGCTGTGGTGGCCGCATACACGGTATGTGTGTGGGGAGGTGGAGGTTCCGGATGAGAACGAGATGCAACCGGCGTGCAACCAAGAAGGCGTAGAGTTCCCCTCACTTCTCAAATCCGCCCAAGCGCCAAGAGGTGTAAGGTGGCTTTCTAGCACCAGGCGCGCGGAAAGAAACAACTCGCGCTGCAGCTACACGACAACAGCCCCACGCGCGGCTCTACTTGGGCTAGAATCTCGAGGTTTTGAAGCTTCTTGACCAGACGGTAGCGCACGCAGAAATAGTGCGCACAGGAAGAGATCGCGCGAAGCTTTGCGTAAAAGGGCGCGAATGACGAGGTTGTTGAAAGTTGTCCGGTATGTACATGGAGGGGGGCCTAACCCCTCCGACGACGACACGACGACCTAGAGCTAGGGATAGATACCACCGCAAAATTTAACGGAGCGAAGGGCAGGGGGGTGATGTCGCCGCCACCACGCTCGGAGGTATCATCGGATTTTGGCCAGCGTGGAGAGCGCGGAGTCGTGTGGCGTAAGCGAAGCAGCACACTATTTCGCAAGGCAAAAATGGCGTTCCTCGCAGCGCACGCCGCTCCTCCAGCGCGCAAGGCAGATACCAGAGAGATTGCTTTGGGTGAAGAGTGATCGATACGCGACACATGGCAGAAATGAGATGCTCAAGCACGTGGTTGATTGCCATGATTGCGTTGTCACAAGTTTGTCTCATCACCTACTTCACTTCGTTAGAGACGCGAACGATTTTTTTCCAGTCCTGATAAGGGGCATACAGCCCAGAAGGGAGAATAGTCTTCGTGCTTTGGCGAATTAAAATGCATCATTGATGAATGTGCTTGCGGCGTTGTCCTTCATTGACTCGTTACTTCTTCATCTGCACCTTCGTATGACTGCTGCAATGATACGCATGGCCCCATCAATATCAGCTCTCCATGCTGTTATTGTAGGGCAAAAATGGGCTTTTTCCCGGTTTATTTAGCGGTTCATGACCGCTAGTACGCCTCCTGGTTTTTTAGCGGATAATGACCGCTAAAGTGGTTTAGCGGCGATGCCCTGAATAGCGGTTATAAAAATCCGTGACACTGTGGACCGCTAAACCGGGCCCACGACTGTATGTAGACGATCTCACGTCCGCAGCGACCTGGGTGCAGAACTATTTTGTCGTCACTAATTGTTCTACGTTCATACAAATAACGTCGTTCTATTTTCGGTCCAACGTTCCGACTTGATGCAAGCTGTGCTACTGCGGGTCGTGGATGCTTGTTAGCTACACAGTATGTACCACAGCGTTTGTTTTTCCTGTGCCTCACAAAGGGTGAGAGCCAGGGAGGAAGTGAACAATGCAATGTGGGTAGCCAAGACCCGAGCAGCAGAATACAACACCAGCAGCAGCAGCACAGCGGCACAAATGCGGTAGTCGATGACAGCAGCAGTGTAGAAAAGAGAGATCCAACAAACAGGCGGCGGGTGTTGTTCTGAGTTGAAGAGAGGGCAAATGGGACAGACTGACAGACAGCTAATAACCTCGACCCATCAATCAGCCGCGCTTCGAGCCACAACGGCGTCCCACCTCTTTAGATTGCTACAGTACTTGAATGGCCTACTGTACCCGCTTTACTAAGCGTTTCAGACCTTTCTCGCGGGCGGGCGTGTTTGTTTGTTGTGTTCCTCCAGCGTGCGCAAGCCCGGAGTACAGACGTGTGCGTTTTCGAAACTGCTGTAACACGGATACCTGTGACCAAGCAAGGTGTTCTTCGCTGTTCTACCCGGGTGGATCCGCTGACACACTTTGGCGCCCCCCCCCCCCACTAATATATACCATTTTTTTAATACTAATAGACTGCATTGAACGTTGTTAGAGTTGTCTTGAGGCAGGGAAGAGGACGTTTGTTTGTCCAGCAATGTGTCGATGAGAACGGTCCCTGGCCTGGACAGTAGTTAGTGTCTGGCGAGAATTGGACAGAAAAAACGATGGACGATGTGCACGACGCCATTCGTCGGATGGCGGACGATAACGCCGCACGAATAATGCAACGGACCTGGAGCCTGACAGACAGCGAAAGAAAAAGTCGAAACGATTAGTCTACAATAGCACATACTCCCCTCGGGGTCTGAAGTATTGTAACCACATTGGTAAAGTCCATGCTGCTGGCAACGAGTTTGAAGCCGTCGTACAGTAGTACACATGAGAGTGTGGGAACTCTCGTGGCGTCCAGTACGTCTGACATGCCTGGGCCGGAACCAGGCCTTATTCTTCCGCCACTCCTTTCGTCTAGTGGAATATCCCTTCACCCCGTAACCTCGTTTGTCCGCTTTGTTTGTTTCTGTCTCCTTCCCGTCCACTAATTACCAGTTTCCGAACCTGATTATTGGGCCGGCGCTTTCGCGGTCGTCGATCTTTCTTTCGACATGAAGTTCACCAACAACCCTTCCCCGAACAGGGCCTCTGTGCGCTACATTGAGACTGTGACCACAACCGACGGGCTGAGCCTGGGGGTACCAGCAACGTTTGAGTACCCGTTCAATGTCACCATTCTTCAGCACGAACACGTGCTTGTGGACGTTGACGACGACTGCAACTTCGTACTCTGGGATCAGTACGGTGACGACCAGGAGCAGACCGATGTGGACGTGGTTGTAGCGGATCTGCTATCTTGTGTGAGCGGGGGGCCGTGCGGACCCGCTTGAAAGAGAAACGGTCATAAATGATCTGCGCTCGGCGCAAGTAATGGTTTCAACCATCATTCTGCATATATATACGCCAAAAGTTTATGACAGCTGTCTGTGTGGCAGCATCAGGAGGAGGTTGTGGAAGACCGGCCAGCGCTCAGGAACGAAGGTCGGCGGTGGGTGCTTGGAGGGTGTCACAGGATGATGATAACAAGAAAGGACGATCTCGCTGCGGTTTCATAAATTATCGCGTTTGAATTGGAGATCCTGGTGCCGGGTCTTGTTCTTTTGTCTGATATTTCTCTGTTGACTATCGTTGGTGTTGCCCTTGGCTGTGTTCTACATAGTTTTTGTACAGAGGCCAGTAGAGGAGGGAAATATGTTGCGAAGATTATTCGCAACCTAGATGTCGCGATTGTTTGGCCGACAAGGTAATAAGAACAAGGACATGCCCAGCGACGCCCCAAAGGGTACAAGGGAAATAGGAAGCCGAAAGCTGTGTGCGCTATGGATCACCAAGAGTAGCCATTACAGAGGTAGACTACTACTTTGAACTGCAAGCAGTCTTCTTGTTAGCCTTTTCTCGTTCAGTGCCTGTATGATTCTTTTGGTGCCGCCGTAGTGAAAGAAGAGACAGGTCAGTCTTTAGTGGTTTATCGGGGTGAACAACACGACCGACACGTTTTCTAGATCGCGGACTCCTTCGACAGGCGGGTCTCGGGAGGGGATAGGACGGTATGAGGATATGTCGAGGTATGTTTGTATTGCGTTTATATGTACGTTTTGGAACGTGTCCTAGCCCGCAGCAACGCTCGCCACCTTTCGGCTGGATGGCGGATGAATGTCGGTATACTTCAGTCTCATGTACAGCCTGTGTTATCCGAACAACGTGCAGGGTTGACGCCTCTTTGTACGAGACATCGGTTTTGGCACTCATCATGTAGACGATGGGGCAATGGGTGGGAGGAAACAACTGCTCCATGTATTTTGCGTCGCTTGAACACTCGGAGCATCAACTACAAGCGGTCATGTTGTCTGTACCTCCTTAACATAGACTAGACTACATGCATATGATGTAGCTGAAGCTAGGAGCAAGTTGAGGAGAGGTGAAAGCCGCCGAAAGGGGGTATTGGTGATCAATGTGTGGACTTGTGAACTGGATCGTAGGGGGGGAGTATGGATGAGTGGGATCCATCTGTTGAAATCCTGACGGACGCGTCTTCGACCCTGCTGAAAATGACTCTCTAGGTAGTCTCCATTACGTATGTAGCAAATTCACTTTGAGTGTCTTCCGACGTGTACTGCGAGACAATCACCGCTCTAGATCTAGAGAAAAGAGTGAGTTCGCGAGAAGAAGAGTGAGTGCTCGAGAAAAGAAAAACAACAAGTGATACTTACCTGTGCCGCAGACACCTGGACCTCACACGTTACACTTGTGGCTGTCAGCGGTCAGTTATCTCAAGGACAGCGACCCCCCTCGTGGCATTCACTGACTGCCCAAACCGTGGAGTCGGCCCGCATGCACCCCCCTAGACAACGCTCCCGTAGAAAGCATTGTATTCATTCTTACGCCTGGGCAGCCAGCACTAGCTCCGCTACTCGATGGTGGGAGAATAGTGTATGTTCGTCTCATCATGTAGACCAAGCGAATGCCAGCCGTACATTGTTACGATGCTACGGCATAGCAACACTTGGCGCCGAGGTGCGCCGTCATGTGCGTAGAATAGATAGTGTTTCGCGCCCTAGAGGGGACCAGGCCTTGAAAAGGAAGCGGTCGACACAACAAATGAAGGCGAACAGGAGAACGACCACGGATTTTGGCACATCCGGTTGGTACTCAGGGGTCAAGGGACCAGATGGTCGAGAGATGAAAAGCGATCAGGACAGACCGGGTCAGTCACACATCCGGTTGGTACTCAGGGGTCAAGGGACCAGATGGTCGAGAGATGAAAAGCGATCAGGACAGACCGGGTCAGTCACACATCCGGTTGGTACTCAGGGGTCAAGGGACCAGATGGTCGAGAGATGAAAAGCGATCAGGACAGACCGGGTCAGTAAGGTCCTTGCGCGAGACACTCCCAACACCGCCCTGCCTCTTTTTGACTGCCTTTTTTCATGTGTACATATATATCCGTAATTGATCAACGTGCGCTCCGTGCACACATGGGCACCACACCTATATCCCGTTCATCAACACCCAAGGAGCACAAAACATTGCCACGCGCACGCGCGGACCTCGTAACTAGAACTGCCACTCAACACAAACGGGACCAAGATGAAACAACCCTCGTTCAGGAAGTCCGCTACCATCACCACATCAACCGAGTACAGTCGAATTACCCAATCGAACTGCGCACGTACGTATTTATGTAATCGCCAACACTCAAACGAAGCGCGAAGAAAACACAGCCTACGCGAGCGAAGTTTTATCCCAGCGATGTTTGCCTGTAAAACGCCAAGTCCTACGCGTGAAAACCCACCCTTTTAGTCAGGTGTGGAGTTGGTTTAGGGCTGACTGACCAAAGCGCTCGCGTGCACTGGAACAAATAACGTAAGTATCGCACTACAAAGACAAGTCACGGAGGGAACCAGAGAGACTCCACACGTTTTCTCGGAACGTATTTTCGCTTATGGATGGACCGGCATTTTTTTTTTTGGCCGAAGCTGGGGTTGGAAATCGTGAACCCAGCACTGACGACCCTGGTGGCCAAACGCCCTATACGGTATGGTATGTATCTTACGCGCTTATCGGGTGTCGAGTCATGTAGAGTATACCTGATGCTTGGCCTACCCACCCCATCCTACAAATCCCGCTGTAGTCCAAGCAAGCCCAATCCAGGAGAATCTCAGCATTTCAGGCTACGCTACACCATTGCGCAAACACGACAAATGCCTTTCCCCTGCTGCATGCTTATGGACACACTACCTTTGCGCCCTCCCGTCTGACAGCGAAGGCCTACTGTACCTAAGCCCTGACATATCATTGAGCTCTTCGCAAACTGTTCATTACGCCGTAACCTGCAGCAACCAAGCTTCACTCGTGCCTGCTTCCCGTCCTGGCTTGCATGAGGACGCTCAGGTTGTTCTTGTTGAGGGAGCAATGCATCTACACGCAAATGCCATCGGGTCACATGACATCACATGCGTGTATGATATCATATGCCGCATCACATCATGTCAGCCACTTCAGGGCTGTGACACGGGAGCGGTCCCGACGAAGCGGTGGCTGTCTTCGACGAGGGTCTTGACGCTGCTCACCACATCCGTGTACCTGGTGTTCCAACACGACCACAACAAACGGCAACGAACCAGCAAAAAACGCGACCAAGCTAGTCAGCATACCATATATGATACGATAGTACCAAAAGCGATTACTACCAACACGCAGGGCGGCGACTATTCGATGATCCAAAATTGTTTTGCAGCACTCGAGGGTACACGGATTGCAATATTGGATTCACAGCTACCCCCCCCCCGCCTCGGCATCCGTATTTTTCGTGATGTTCATCCAGTTGAATGGATGGTCTATTGACAGGATTTAGTGATAAATACCAAAACCAATATTCGAAAGTGAAACCAAGTAGGCTCTGTAGTACCGCACTCTAAAACCCCACACAAGTAAGAGGTGTACGGGCTACGTGTGTCACCATACCACATCCTATATAATGGAGTAAGAATACCACACTAAACGCCCTGACGCACTAACGCTTTGATCCTTTGGCTTGCACCCCTAGATAGTCAGACCAACGGTCTACTCAATGACGTGAACGTTCCGTTATGCCCCTCTGCTTTTGTATGCTATCACAATCACATCGCGTAACGTCCGCGGGACAACAGTACGGGTATCCCAACACTCACTTGACGCCAGACATCTTGAGGAGGCGAGCCTCCATCTGGCCCGGCCTCGGCTGGCTGTCCAGGTAGTTTAGAGCCACCTACATATTCATACATACAGCAAGGAAAATGGCGTCCAGCATGCGTCAGAACGGTATCACCTCAGAACATAGAATCATAACCAATCAACCAACCTCTGGAGCCAGCTAGGCTCGACAGAAAAAGTAGCTCCAAGACAGCCCAGCCAGCCTGCGACAGCCACCGAGAACAATGCGAGCGAAGCCCGCATACGGCAGTCCCGATGCCTCAAGGCAGGGACATACTACCATGTTGCGGCCTCGAGGCAGGTACATAGCACGGTACATACCTTCAGGCGAGTGTTCCAGCGGTTGGCCACTCCCCCGGCGAGCACCCTTCCGGTCGTGTCTTCCACCGTGTCGAAACGTTTCAACGAGCTGCGCGCGTACGCGATGAGCTTCTCACACACCTGAAAGGAGAGTTTGATCGGGGAGGAAGGACCCACATCAAGGAAATATCGTTTCAGAATTGCATCCATGCGAAGATGGACTCCGTGAGCACATGCGAAAAGAAAACTTGATTTTCTACGGGGACCCGTATGCATACATTACGTATCTTGGGGTTTACTACTGCAATGCAAAGGCAGATTAGCCCAGATACCCAGATACCCTTTTTTCTTTATTCTCTCCACCCTACACCCTACACCTTGTCTTTCATCTTCATTTCGACTCTTGTCACGATCGTAGGGTTTTAGGGTTAGGGTCCACACAGCCCTTTCTGATTCGTTCGGCTTTCCGGTACGGTACTACTGTATGCATACGCTGTCTAAATATATACGGCGCATCGTGTATAGGCAAACGACCGGATCTAACATGAATTGACCACTGTAGGGTCTCCGAGGTAATCTGCGTTTCAATAAGGATACGGGGCTCTCTTCTACCCAGCCCTGTATTTTCTGCCTGTTCACGACCAAACATGGCACAACACTTTCATCCCCAAGGTCAAGCCAAAAGACGGCCTATCCCTCGGATGGGATTGCTTGTGTTTGTCGTTGCTGCCATCGATCGCTCGTAGGTCTGTAAAAACCTCAAACCTTCAGATTCGGCGAACACCGGAAACAACAGCCAGAGGGTGGCCAGAACGGCACGGTCAACTAAGCCCCGTATTGTAAGCGTGGCGTAACGTAAAACTCACGTCAAATCCTAACCGCTTGGGTCGGGTGTATGCGACTCTTCGACAAGGTGCGACAACCAACGAGAGAGAAAAGGCCCCTCCATTCAGTCGCTCGTCCCTCACCTCATCATCCGTGGTCAAGCCGTGTGCGTGCCGGATGATCTCGTGGTCGTGTTCCCACAAAATCAGCAAAAGGCGAGCCACAGCCCAGTGCCAAATAGAGTCCTGCATCGAACACAATTCGGTACAGGCGTCATTCAAATCCGACGAGACTCTACGTAGACAAACAAAGCTCGTCTTCCGACGCCATGGCAAGACAGCATCGGGATGAGTTCATGCTATACAGGAGACACACCCTGCCGGCGAACACATCCAATACCTGTTCACACCATGATATTTCGACCCTCTACCAGAACAGGACACAACGCGTGCGTCAAAAACGGCCCCCAGCACAAGACGACACGACGGCCTCCAACAATCACTCACGCCGAAATGTTACATTTTTTTCTAGAAGGTACCATGACACAGGATAGAGGTGAATCATGACGTCGACACGAAAGACAAGGTGTAGTTAAACGACAACATCAACATGCCGTTTGGCGGCACATATAACCTAGTTCGACTTCACCTCACCTGTACGTCTTGCGGGGCATCCTTGCAGGTGAGCAGCTTGTGGTCGCCGGGGTGGTCACCCGATTCCTCCCTGGACAAACAGAAAACAGACATGGAAGACAAGCACGCGTTGGAGAGGGCACACCAGCTGCCTGCTTCTGAACCTCAAGAGTACAAGGCACGACCACGTGTAGCACAGAAAACACATGGCTCCGTCAAAAAGAAACAAATGCTGTAGCACGGATCCAGTACCGCAAGCGCGTGCAATCTCTGTTGATAGGAACAACTTTATCTACGTCTGCACAAGAGTACCGTAGCTGCGACGAAGGCCTTATCACAACGCTTCCGCTTTGAGGGAAACCAAAAGCTTGCAGATTCCCACCGTCAAAAAATGTCTTCCTTTCCTTTAACCCCCGCTCACAGCGACCAACAACTATCCTTCACTACTACGTGTATTGTCCACAGCAGTGCAAGGGATTTGGTGCCTTTCGAACAAACGCCAGGGTCGGTAACTAACGAACCGCCTTCATATTAACCATAACAACTGCTATCTCAGGGCAATAACCATAACAACTGCTGTCTCAGGGCAATAACCATAACAACTGCTATCTCATGGCAATAACCATAACAACTGCTATCTCAGGGCAATAACCATAACAACTGCTATCTCAGGGCAATAACCATAACAACTGCTATCTCAGGGCAATAGGCAATAGGCAATAGGCAATAGGCAATAGGCCAGTATTTGGGATGGGTTTTCCGTCGATTCTCGCAGAAATAGATAACAACCCCCCGTCACGTGAATGCAAGTCGGACAAGTCCAAAAGTCTCTCGAGTCCTTGTCCCTCTCCTGCCGCTTGCTCACCTGCACAGCGTGATGAAGGCCAACGTGGTGTGCATGCCTAAAAACACCACCACAACGCGTGCAACGCGCAACGCCCCCCGAGTTTCGCAAATGGGAGAAAAAGAAGGCAACAGAAGAACCGGGGTAGGAGGGGGGGGGGGGAGAGAGAGAGAGAGGAGACATTACACCCCCGAAACAGCACCTCGCAGAGCAAGAGCAAGAAGTAGTGCCAAATGGCTTCTCATCAACTACCAAGTGATCACACCACCAATGACAGAAGCAGCGGAAGATTTCGCGGGAATCAATGACGTCGCGTGATCCGGTAGGGGTGATGAGAGAGAGGCGAGTGTGGCCAATCCTTGCGTATTAGGAAACCAACCGAGAGACCTGCAACATGGTACATGTACTTCCACGTCAATGAGATCGCCCCCTTTCGACTTCGAAAATCTCAAGATACTTCGCGCGACGCGCGGTTTAGCACGAGCTTCAGCAACAACAGAAGAACCACTTACCGTTGACCATGGTGATCTTCCTCCGACAGAAGTAGTTGGCCTCTCCGTAGGTCATCGGGACCATCACATTATCTCCGGCGAAGGCTGGGAGGGGTGCTGCCACAGGGGGCTGCAGGATCACGACCTGTTCGTTCGATTGTTCCAATCACGACAAGTGTCGAGAGCACGACAAACATGTCATCCACCAGGTACCATACTTGACGTCTGCCAATGCTCCGTGAAAAAAGAAAGTCTCATCTACAGAAGTTGATAGGCACGAGAAGGGCGACTGGGGGAGCTTGCGCCGTTCGCCCTCAGCGAGGAAATTACGCTCATTTCCCCTTGACATCACATCACATCACCTCCCACACTGACAAGGGTTGATTGATGTGATCGTTTTTCTCAGTCGGACGGCACGCACAAGAATTTCCCTTCATGCTTCGTGAGTCTAGCACACCTAGCATTAACATACGGCAATTTCCCTTTATCACACCGTCACATCTGCCACAACGCAGCTCGTGTCTTTGTTAGGAGCAGTACAACGGTACCAGGAAGGACGTGCCCGATTGTGAAGTGGATGGAAAAAGGTTTTCAACGCGAAACACAAACACAACGGCCGCGACAACGTTGGCCGGCATGCGTGCATTGGATTTCCCGGGAGTGGTTACACAAGGCGTTCACAAAAAATATGCGCAGAGAGCACGCCAGGGGAGTTTCCAAGGGTCGAGGGGAAAATAACAAAAAAACAAAACGGGTATTTTTTATCCAGGAAGCGTTAACATGCGCGGGGCCGGAGGGGTCACACAGGTTACCACACTAGTCGCAAGGAAGCGCCGACGATTACAACTAATCTATGCACAAGATAACATGCACCCTTTCAAGAGCATTACCTGTCGGGGGGACACAATCGCTTTCCGGTCATGTCTAACGATACTCATTCGGCCAGAGGCCCCAGGTGCTTGTGGCGAGTCATTTCGCGATTCTACAGCGAGTGTGTAGCACTAGCTAGAGCAGTCAGTCTCAGCCTCACCTCTCCCAGGTGCGGCTCAGCGGAGACCTTGATGTCGTTGCCGGTCACCTCACGCCCAGTGCAGATTCGATCCACCTTCAAATATAACAAATTGTGGGCAATCCGAAAGTCAGCAAACACGTCTCAGTTGGCTACCGGGGTGGTTTGTGTTCACACTGTGTATCGAGGTAAAATCGCTGTACAGTACGCGCTTGCTGTCATCGCCGATAGTCCATAGGAGGTTGAGCCTTGAATTGACAGGAACAGCAGGATTTCGAGGGTCGAAACAACAACACCGCTGCTTGTTGGGACCCCAAAACGATTAGCACACAAAGCAATGCGGAGGACCGCGTGAATACGTCCAATTCTCCCCGTGGCTGACGCGCTTCCATCTCGCGAGGGGCTGGCTACCGCTGTGCCACCAGCGCAAACGGCTATCTGCTGCTGCGGCAAGAAACCAAGATCCTCCCGAAATTTCCAGCCGTGTTTCGGCTCACCATGCACGTGACAACTTCCGCCTTGCCCTCCAGCTTCTCCCCCAGCTCTTCCACCATCCTGATTGAACAACAGCAGTGTACATTCCACCAACGAACAGCAATAACCGAAGGTTACATGAGAGTCCCAGAACGGGACAAGCGAGAAATCATAGATGAGTGGGCAGCCTCCTGACATGCTTGCCTACTGGTTCTCTGAATACTTCAGCTCAATAAGTTTTGCCAACCACAAGAAAATCAACGGTACATAAGTTGGAGCGCCCGACGGAGAAACTTCGGCCGTGCGTGGCGCTTCACAGACAAAAAAACGATGCTGGCCTATTGCATAGTACGACCTATACACCGCATGCAGCAAGTAAGTACTATAGCCGTATGCCGTATGCATACCCGTGGTCATTCTCGCAGCCGTAGATGTAGGTGCGGTCACCGGGGCTCTTGTCCACGTCGAAGTGAGGCATGACCACCTTGTGCATCACCTGCAACAAAACACAAGCATCCACAAATCGGTCACGCAAGGTAGAAGGGAACACACGGACAGATGCAAAGTCGTTCGCCCCGTTGCTCCCACTACAACCTTCGACAGTTCAAAGCTTGCCGCAAGCGTCGAGCGCGAAACGTCGTGTGTATCATGTTCCCTTGGGAGGGGTACAATATCAACAATTGACACTATTCCCGTGCTCCTTGACCAGCGGTCGAAACAAATCAATATCTCCAAAGCGGACTACGGCCTTTCCACGGGTCCCATTGAGGCCTGTACGTGAACTCTCGCGTCGACTCGTCCCCAACAGGTACGATAAGAACGCCTGGGAAGAAGGGGTGCGTCCATCTACTACCTTGGGGTACGTCTGTACTGTCTCCTGATCATGTACATCTCACAGGTCCAAGTGAAGTGGTGAGAGTGTCACAGGCGTCCACGGCCTTTCTCTGCAGGGCGGGGTCAGTCGAGCAGATGAACAGCTTGAGCCCCGGCTTGTATAGGTCGTCGGGCAGGTCCGCTTCGCTCGTGATCAAGGTCACATCCGTCAGCGTCGGCTGTGAGCGACACAACGCGCATGCAAGCACAGCAGGCCAATTCCGGACATGAGGAGGTTGGTGTGATGGGAAGGAACACCGTAACAGTGTCATCCTTGTGGGGGGCCAGAACCCACCAATGGTGCTTACTACTTCGTATGCTGGTCACCCATAACACCGGTGAGAGGGTGTAGAGCAGCTTCACTGAGCCCCAAGACTCCAACACCCGAACATGGCCTGTTCCGCCCGCACTGACGGGTTGCAAAGGAAGATCCAACTGCAGTTTGTAATGTAGTTAACGAGTATGACGTGTTGCCGATGTAACTACAGCGTCCACGGTTACTACCCATCGGTGCTTGGCAGTTCAGTTTCAGCCCACGCCCCCTCCTCTCTTACGGTTACATTTACATGTACCTCACCTCGCCGTTGACGTAGAAGTTGACCGTCTTGTGTCCCTCCTTGACGAGCGCTTCGTAGTCTCCGAAAGGGCCGTCGATCAGGATCACTGGACGTCCAGACTTTGCCATGGCGGGGGAGAGCAAGCCCATGCCGAGTCGTCCGCATCCGAAGTGCACGTGCAGCTTCGTGACTGGGGTGTCGATATCCCCGGCAGCCTTAGCCTCCGCAGTGGTGCGGATCAGGTTTGCGCGTTGACCCCTTCAAAACAGAGCAGAAACACCAACATAGATCCACACCGAACGAAAACGATTAACATCCTATGATACATCATTCGCCACGCGAAATTATATGATGTTTCCTTTGCTATGAGTACTGCATGTGTTGCGCGAATATGCAAAACGATGACACGAGGAATCCATTGAATCCCTGCGCGATCATTCTGAAATGACAAACGGCACGTACAGCAGGCCATAGGTCTTCTGGCGTTCCGGATGCTTTCCCGATTGGCGCAAGACGCAACTGGCGTCAAAACTCATCTCCAAACACAGCATCCCAAGACAAGTACAAGTATGCACAGCACTGTCACAGCAGCAGATAGGTGCAGTATGTGGGGTGCACGGAATCTGCCCAATCATTGTCATTCTTTCTCATCTATTTGCTAGCAACCCCGGGGAGGGGGTAGACTAAAGACCAAGGCAAACATAACCCCCGGTGGGCAGATACAACGTCCACGACACATGCGTGCATCTATGTACATTCACAGCGGAGTATGCAAATTTTGGGGGGTACGACATGTCGACCAGGGCTTTCCCTCGAAATACCTGTGTGCTCCATGAAAGAAACATGCATAACGGCAACCTACATTCTAACGAGTGCCGTGGAGGGTAGCGAGGTGCGTAAACTATACCATCCAACGTGCAGACAGATCTCTCTAAAGAGTCTATGACGTTACTACATGTACAGCAGTACCTAACGCACAAGACTCCTATCTAGAACACAATATCAACGTTCATCTTCTGCGTGACCTCGGCACGTCGACGTACCTGTGACATGTTGCATGTTGCACATGAATATGAAAGGATATGGCGCAAACCACAAAAATCAGAAATTTGCGTGACACTGCGTGACTCCGGCCGCAAGTCACGTGGCGGACCGGCTGTTGCTGTTCCAAGCGACCATCGCTTGTTGCAGGCCATCACGTGCGCCGTTCTGTTTACAGTACAGGCACGGGGCATGTGTAGGCCAGAATCGTCTGTCGAATACCGTTTGTTGTTTTACTTCAAAAACTCACACGGGCATGAATTTCGCGTGGGCAGCGGTCATGAAATGTGTCACGGCGCTGATTTCGCCCTTGGCTCCTCGGTGGAACCCTTGGCGGAAGCGGCTGTACGAGATGCGGTATCCCGTGATCGCATCCATCACCTTGGGGAGAGAGAACGACCAAAACCATCATGAGCGGTGGCGAGCGGGAACGCAAAAAGCGACAGCGTTATCTCCAGGTATGCATACACCAGCCGGCTTCAGGTACTTTAACAACAACCCACTACTATGCACACACTCGTATACAACAATTGGTATAGAATGCTGAAATTGCAGCACCCACAGTGCGGGACCTGTCGTCACTGGCGGGGCACGTCTTCCCTTCCCAAGACGGCCGGCAGGTACTCGTTGAAGTTGCTTACGATGTACGTCGATGAGAGGCGGTATGGAAACATTGGATATTACCGCAGTACAACAGCAAACGTGTGATCCATCAATACCGTTGGATTGGCTCTACAGCAGTACTTATGCGCTACGCGTGCACACACGCGATGTTCATGTCTTGTGCCGCCTTTACCTAACAGCAGGGACGCACATACTGAGGGACGCACATACTGCGCGATCGCGACTGCACTTACTAGCAGATAGTGGTTTCGAGGATTGCCAAGAACAGAAAATGTTTCATGATTCTGCCTTTCGAGATGGACATGCTATGGGTGTGCGCCCCGCCACAATTTGGCGTGCTTTACGCAGCGTCAAACATCTACCCAGGCTCATGTATGCATACTACAGGAGTTGGTGGGCCGTCCTGCGAGGAGCTGACCAGGAATCGGGGTCTCGATGATTCACGGGATCACAAGCCACTTGATACGGAAGTCGAAAGTGTAGTTGCAACTTCGTGTACGACACATACAAAAACAGGAGGTGATCCATTTTTTCTCCCCGAACTGCTGTTCCTCATGTACCAATCTCGGCAGCAACGGAGTCCTTAGCAAAGAGATTACAAACCTCGACTTAGCGCATGTGGATTGGATCCGGCCGGCGTACTAGCCACTAGACTTGCACTGCTGCTCAAAAGGATTGTGCACTTCAACACGAACTGCCAAGTCAAGTCTTGTGCTGGTTTGTTTCCACGTGGGTGGTACGTGACTTTTCGGAAACACCACCCGCGCACACACCTTGGTAATGGACCCGGACAGGGAGAAAAACGTCTCTTGTTCGAGAAGTTCTTCATCGACGGCGGGCAAGTCGGGCTCCACATGGAACTGGTTGGTCTCGCCCTTTGCTCCTTGCGACTTACCCAGGCGGAAGTTATGATACGTCCTCCGGTAGTGGGTGATGCTGCCATGTTTATTTCATTCCAGGCACGCGGAGAACATGATGAGGGAGGGAGAGAGAACAGCAAAACGTTGAGAAGTCGCTCCATCTCAACCTCAACGCATGCAAGTCAGCATCGCCCCCCGCCCGCCCAAGCTCAGAGACACCAAATACCGCAGAGTACATCCGATCATTGCAGTACAAGAGCCAACAAGATGGCACCAGCGGCGGGCACAACGGAGCAGCGGTGGCCATGGAAACCTTGGAGATTCGCTAGCATGCACATTATGAGGCAAAACATGGCGCGGGGCAACGTCGAACTGCTGTGCACAGCAACGAGACGAAAGGACCAAACAAGACACGGGCTTCACCTTTGACTCTGAGCAGCACTCAGCTCGGTGCTAACTCGTCGGTTCTGCTGCTGATGTGCTGGTGGCCGCAGCAGGAAAGCTTCTACATCGTTGGCTGCTAGCAGGTGCACCAAGAAGAGCACCACGCACAAATATCCTATACTCCTGTAACTCGCCATAACTGCTGTATTGTACACCTACGATACCTACAAGTCCAATCTCGCTCCGGTTGAAGATAAAAGTCACACACGCACGGTCACAGAAGGTGATCTATCTCAGGCGTCTAGCCAGGCTGGTACAAGAACTTTTGCTCACGCTTCTGCCTCAAGAGCCGGTAAGAAGGGAGGAGCGAGGGATATGTCGATCATGGCGCCAGATTTCCTTCCCTTTTCCAGGCTCTTTTGGTCTTCTTCGTCCCTCTCTTGAAATTAAAGTGCCTGCCAAAGTGGCGAACAAGAGCAGCAGGAACAGTTTGGGGGGGGGGGGGGGGGGGGGGGGTTAAAAAAAAAAAAGGGTTAAAATTCCGGTTAATGTTAAATTGTTGGGAAAAAATTNNGGGGGGGGGGGGGGTTGAAAAAAAAAAAAGGTTTAAATTCGGGTTGACGTTGATGTTGTTGGAGAGACTTTCATCTTCGCGCCTATGCGTATGCGTATCCAACCCTCAGTTGGTCGACGTGGTCGGTGTGTTGGCCCACTCCTTCTCTTTACCTTAAGGTCTGGTTTTCCGGCTATCTGCCGAAACGAGCACAGCGTACATCAGCAATCATGTGTACTGACGACGAACGGAGAGATGGTGAGCTTGTAACATGTTTATTTTTCGTTCCTGGGTGAAAAACATACAGCAGCATCGTCATCATCAGCATCATCAGCAGCAAGAGCAGTGGTAGTACCTCGAACCCCTCGACCTCTTGCTCTTTGCAAATTTGCCCCTGATGTCACGCGCGGATCCACGGACAAGTGGTATTGGGAGGAAGAAGAAGGGCGTGCGAGTGTAGAGCAGTGACGACGTTTTGCTGCTGGGCAGAGACGAAGAGCCACCGCGGCGGCGGTTTAGCCCCCCCCCCCCCCCCCCCCCTGGATTGGAATTTTTTTTGGGGAGGGCCTTTTTTTTAAAAAATGTGACGGCGGTTGGATGGGAAATTTAAAAGGGCCCCCAAAGGGCCCCGGGAAGAAGGGGTTGCGAATAATTTTAAACCCCCCCCCCCTTTAAGGTTGGGGGGGGCCCCCCGCCCTGTACCCCGGGAAAAGGGGGGGGGGGGGAAAAAA